GACAGTCGATGTGGATAACAGCATTAGCATGGGGCTGTATGTGTGGGTGTGTGTACCCATACTGCACCCCAACATCACTTTGATAGTTATTGACAGCTAACAGCATTCGACATATCATCCTGATCCAGGCTCCATGTGAAGCAGAAGCACAGTGTGCTTCTCTGTGCAAGGAAGGCTTGGTCTATGCTGCTGCAACTGAGGACATGGATGCATTAACCTTTGGAACGCCACGGCTGGCACGTCACCTAATGGCCCCCTCATCTCAGAACAAAGATATTCTAGAGATCCAACTGGATCGGGTGCTTGAGGAGCTTGATGTCAGCCAGGAGCAGTTTATTGACCTATGCATCCTGTGCGGTTGTGATTTCTGTGGGCGAATCGCTGGTGCGCTGAACTCTGAGATTTGCCCTTGTCTTCAGAGCGAAACAAGTGAAAGCTTTTGTGTGGATGCAAATGCTGTGACGTTTGGAAACAGACCTGTTTTTATGTTTTTCTGCAGCACAGTGGTCACTTGGAATGTCCATCCATTAGCAATGTCCACCTTCCAAATAGTTGTGTGTCACATGTCCTCAGCTGTGATTTGCTTAGTGCATACCATGCCCATGGTGTTTGCAGTCACTGCCAATGCAGTTGCGTTCGTACACAATCCTTTTTGGACAACATTGCAGCTTGACAAAAGGCCATCCTGTGCTCCAGCTCAGTTTCTTGCTGCCACACAGCTGTGTTATGCCTGCGATGACTGTGTCCCACCTCAAACGCTTCAGAAGCGCAAGCCTGCACACTCGTGTTAGGCTTGTTACCCCAAGCCAAGTTTGAAGGCAAATCCCCTTAGATCCTCATCGTCATGTGTGGAGGGTCCATGTTCATACGAAATGTGTTGATCTTGCTGTTTGTGCTCTTCCCAGGAACAGCAGCATTTGTTTTGGGACTATGTTTGGCTGCCTCTTGTCCTCATTCTCTACTGTATCGGCATGGATACAGAGCGGCCAGCCGAGCCCAATATTTGATAGCACGGTTGCCGAGAGCACCACACAAGTGCCATGCAAATGCCTCCATCATTTTAAGCATGCTAACGCAGTATATAAAGGCAAGCTTGGCAACATCCTGCACTGTTTGTGTGCCAATGAGCAACCTGTATCGCCGTTTCCTGCAGGCGTAGGACCCACAACAGCTCTGAAGCTGATGAAGGAGCATGGAACTATAGAGGAGGTTGTCAAGCATCTGGAGAAGAAGGCTTCGAAAACGATTCCAGATCCCTATCCCTTCAAAGAAGCAAGGGAGCTGTTCAAATCGATGGATGTGCTCACTGGAGAACAACTTCCTGAGCTCAAATGGGGCAATGTGGACGAAGAACAATTGGTCAAGTTCCTTGTTGGGGAGAAATCCTTCAGCGAGGACAGGATCAGGAAGGTAGGTGATGTGGGGCAAATGCACAAGATTTCCATCGCCAGATGTATTATCCATGTTCCCAAGTGCTAACATTTGACCACAATTGGAATGCATAGTAGGACTGCCAGTCAAGCACAGCTTTTCATGGGGCACCTAGTGGCGCCTGGTAACATTGGCTTATGGGAATGAATGGTACTGCCATCAGCTCCACATTCTCACAACTTGGCTTTGGTCTTGGCCCTCCCCACTGTTGCCTTTCTTGGCATCGAAGTCTCAAATTGTTAGGCATTCTCATGCTTGCAGTATGCTGTGTGCAGACAATTGGGAAGCTGAAGGCCGCACATGGACGATCCACACAGGGACGTCTGGAGTCGTTCTTTGGACCTGTAACAGTGAAGCCTGCTACAAAACGGAAAGAGCCACCAACGAAAGGAACAGCAAAAGCAGTGAAAAAGGGCAAACTCGGTGCAGTGGGCAAGAAGCCCAAGTGACAGTGTTGTATGTGTGTCCATCTACCCCAGAAACGAACTGTACGCATCCTGTTCCTTGAACTTGCCTGCAGAGTTATGGGGACGGTGCTGCATTGACTCGTGGCTTGAGCAGAGCATGATGGGATGGCATCGTTGCAATGATATGATTGACAGTGGGTTGGATAACAAGAGGAAAGTTGAATAATGGGCCTCGCTGGTCTCTTGCCCAGCACCAGAGAAACTGCTGTAGGAAATACTTCTACCGTGGCCTTGACTACAGTGGGGCTTGCTTCAGATAGGCCACATAAATTGTGTATCATCCAAATTTAGATCCACAACTGCATTTCAGAAACATTTCCACCGCCTACACAATGCGTACATGCCCTTAGGTCACACATGTGGTAGTTCAGAAGATGCTGAAGATTGTACTGGTGCACTCCCAAGATCAAGTGATGCAAAGAACATGTTCTACACCAACTGGTATGGCCCTTTGCCATTCCTATATCCTCTGCACTACTCCAAAGGCACCTCCATTCGCCCCGTTTTGCCCATCCCCAGCACGTGCATTCTCAGCGCTGATGAGATGGGAGCGGCTGTTTCCACTGACCTTCTTGCTGAGGGTCTTGACGCCCTTTGTACCCTTGCCTACATCCCCCATTAGCTGGCCCCAACTGTATATCAAATTCTCTCGCCAGGATCTCTCCTCCGCTTTAAGAGGCCGGTTGTGGAGCCCTTTTCTGAGCACCTTCACCATCCAACGCTCGAAATACTTCTTCTCTAACCTCCTGGAGTCCCTTAGCATCGCCTTCTGTACAACGGCCACAAATTCTGGTGGTTTTGTGTACTTCTCCTTGTACTCCCCTCTCAGCCACCCACAGATGCCCAAGCCCAAGAGCAGGTTTTCCGCAAGTGTAGCCAGGAGGGCCGCGCCCTCGACAAACAGCATTCCAGAGCCGATCCTGATTCGAAAATCTCGGTCTTCATTAGGACCCACCAGTAGAGCAATGCCCAGTGCAAAGGTGATCACATCTGCTGCCTCAGCGAGCAGTGTCACAGCCATGTCCGCTCTCGAAGGGAATGGCCTTGATATGCGAATGATGATCAGAGATAGAAATGAGATGCAAAAGAGGGCAATCACTTGGGCCAAGCTGTTTTCGGAGTCCACTCCGCCAATCAAGCATCCCAGCAGGATGATTTTCAGATAGTCCAGGGGCCGAGTGAGTATTTGCAACTGATATCGATATAGCACCAATGGCCTTGCAGGGGCGCTCCTGCGGGGGACTCTGAACTGGGGGATGGTTAGCAGGGGTTTCCCCTTGATAGGGATCAACTTGCCACGGTCGATCTTTCCTGTGTTTTCATCCTTTGTGTATGTTGCCCCACTGCAGGCATACACAGAATATTGCTCAGCACTGTGCCAATGAGACTGGAAGTTGTGGCTTTTAGGCACTGTTCAGCCATGGTTCTGAGCCAGAATCGCATATGCCAGAAGTCCAGAATGTCCAGAAGCCTTTTCATGAAGCCTGAAATCACAATCTATCACATTGGCCCCATCGCTCTGTTGAGCGTTCTCAATACGATTTCCAAAACCTCCAGATTCTGCACAAAGGCCCTTTACAGAACAAACTGCTGTACCTGCGATCATCTTAAGTGTGGGCAACCTCCACTTCATCGTTCTGGTGCGACCCAGCATATACATTTCTGTCCAGACACCAATACACACAACAATAGAATACCTACTGTTCGATGCCTGGTGCAAGTTCAGTGCCACTGGGAGGTTGCCAGGTGTAGCATCGGACACCAGAAGGGGATCTTTGCTGCTGATGTTCAGGCAACTGTATGGCAGATGCTGTGGCTAACACTTGCTTACGTGGGACCTTGTCTGTACATATCACCTTTGTGCAGAGCATCATAATAACCAGTGTGTTACAGTAACCACCCCCTTGCAGAATGCAAGCATTGCAGGCACAAGCAGACTATGTGTATGAAACCCACATCCAATGAGATGAACGGTCATCAGCAACACAGTACCAATACCATTGCCTGAAGCAACAAGCATGGGGGTGGGTGAGTTATTGCAAACCATGCACTGAAGTGCCCAGGCGCCCAATGCGCAAATCCGGGCAGCCAACAAGCCTGTGGCTGCAGGGAAAATCAAGCAGCTCCATAAAGTGCTCCAAAAAAGTGTCCTCAACTGTGGACCAGCCTTCTATGGTGCCCGACTGTGCCCCACACTTTACAATACTTGCCTGCGCATGACCGGGTGGCCTCGGTTGTCCTCAAACAGAACTCCATACCGATGAATGAACCTGCTGTCCTGTTTGGAGGTGGCCACCCAGGTGCAGGACTGTTGTGGCCCCCCTAGCAATGGCGTTATGAAGCACCTCTCACAATAATCCGTCCATCCTCTGTGTCCTCTGTTATGGGCCCGAGCGATGTACTCACTGCACTACGTGAATTCCCTGAGCGCATGCGCCTCATGCCACGGGTCATTCCACGGGGCAGTGTGGCAGCTCTGGTCAGACCGCGTTTGACAGTGGTAGCTTGCTTTGTCACATTTTTCTTGGCAGCCTTGACAGTCCCTGTTACAAGGACCTTGATGTTGTGGTCTGGAAACACTTCATCGTCCAGGATTAGGTTGGCCTTCCTTTTTCCCGTTGGTTTGCTATAAAAATATGTCCAGATCATGTAGAAATTCCATGCCAAAAATGACGTAGGGATGAGGATGACCAGCCATGTGGCAAGAAGCGCATCACCTGCAGATACATAGGAACTTGGAAATTAGGGAGGACCTAGCACATTAGCCTTAAATCATGCCATACAATCGGACAGGAATTGCAGGTCAGCGAGTATCCCAAATTTCCATGTGCAACACAGCTATACCACTGCTTGCAGCAAACACGATGTTTGCAAAGTCAGTCACCGTGCCAACCACAACGACCACAGAACGCTAAGCAAAGTGGAATTTCAACAGTTACGCAAAATAGACAAAACTTCAGCCTCTTACCCAAATCTCCTTTGTACAGGCCTGCCACAGCTATGGTGATTGCTGGCACAGCCCAGAAGGCAAGCATGATTTCTAGGCGTGGAACAGCAAGCAGCCATGGAACTGGCCTCCGTCGACACAGGCAGCAGCTCAGCAGCAGCGCATGCAACACAATGACGAGAAGGAATGCAATCGAAATCCACATAAGGACCTGAAGCAGGTGCTTCTTGGGATCCTCATCATCGTCAGCTTCCAACAAGCTCTGGGTGCAAACAGATGCAAAACGCAAAGGTAAGATTAAGCAGGCATGGCCATCGTGATACAGGAGGCAAAGGATTCAGGCAACGACTCTCATCACATACTGTAGTATATTCAACCCTTCCTCACTTTGACATTTCAGTATTCCTATTTTTGCCCTGCATTTTCCACAGACCGCTATTTTGGGGACTCCGCACCATGGTCACAGCCGGAATGGTGGCTCTGCTGACTTCCCATGGCCTCAGAAGCCAGTTTGTTGCCACAGTGACTTATACATCTGGGGCTGCTAGATGCCACAAGCAGTCCAGAGACTCTCGCATTGCGGCTGGGGCTGCTCCACATTTTCTTGGCACCATTACGTTTTCATTATTGCTCCGCATTAAAAGGCCCAACGTCAGCTTACAATGCGAAGAGTAGAATACACTATAATATTCTTTGTAGTCAACTGTGCCCAAATTGCTGGCTTGGGTGGACTGTGTATACCACAGTGCCAGGTACAGAGGTTGTGAAGCACACTGCAAACAGCTGGCACTTTCCTCCAATCATGACCATTCGCAGTGTCCAGCCACATGGCACAGAACGCAACACCCAGTTGCAATTGTGACATATGAGAGCAATCCTGGACTGCTGTACTTGATTCCCACCCATTAGTGTAAGATGGCACTGTCTGATTGGAATACCAACAACATTGTACCTCCAGTCCTTCAAACTCCTCTTCCTCCCCCTCTTCCTCCCGCTCAATACCAAATGGCGTGACAGTTCTGGTGGTGTTGTCATCATCCTACAAGACAATCAGTCTTGTCAGAATCCACTCCCGCTCAATACCAAATGGCGTGACAGTTCTGGTGGTGTTGTCATCATCCTACAAGACAATCAGTCTTGTCAGAATCCACTCTCCATGGTTCAACATTCCCTGTGGCACAGCATCAACACCTTGGTAAAGTTGTGCTGAATACAAACACGTTCAGGCTTGAATGTGCTGAAGTGCATCGTTCCTTACAGCTCAACAACCACGTCCTTGATATCCAGAAAATAGATTGCACAACAAGAAACCAGAAACAAGAAATGTTTATTATCTAACACGAAGATACCATTGGCTCAGAGAGTGCTGCAGCAAGTGCAGCTCAGCAGTCTGTATGCTTGTTAGTCTAAACATCGTCTACACCCACCTCCCAAGGCAAATCAACGTCGAATACTGTCCATGCCAGCTCACCAACAAATGCAGCATAGTTCTCAGGGAAGTTCTTAATTGCCACCAGTCCAGTCATGAACATTTTCTGTGCAAGGCCAAGAATGTTTAGGGCCCCACCGCCACCGCCACCCCCTCCTGCACCACCACCTCCAGCAGCTCCACCTGTGGGTAGAATCGCACCATTGTCTGAGTGAATCCTCAACACCAAGCAGTTCAATTGAGCCACAAAACTGTCAATGAGACAGCAGGCATGACGTCACAGCGGTCGAGGCACTGGATTCTAGAAGCAACCAACATCTACTAAGGCTTTGAGAAACAGCTCTCTAACTAATGGCATTTCCTTGGAACTCTCACAGTGTTGGTGAGCGGATGGCATTGGGGGACTATGTCTTTGTGTATTGCTTGCCACGTGAGACAGATCCACATTGTCACATTGTTCACTGCTGCTGCATAGTGCAGGCAATTTACAGTTATTTCTTGACCACTGTTCCCAGGTAGCTAAATGGTTTCTGAAAGCAATATCAGCCTGCTAATGCCAGAAGCAAGCGTCTGCTGTACAGCAGTCTCTTGTAGCACAGGCAAACAGACTGATCTTGTGTGACCTGCCCGAAATTCCCAACCTGCCATTGAGGTCGCCGCTGCTGCTGCCACCATTGCAGAGGAAGCAGTGCCAAAAGCCTTCGCACTGGATACATCTGGGGGCATTTCAAGCTCCTCTTCAACAACAACCTCATCATCGCTTAACACGATCGTCCTCCTGGCTATACGTGCTCCAATGTCACTGGTAGCAATTCCCACAGTTGGCCTGTACCTGGCCTGTGCACTGCCTCCTTGTTCATTCACATTGCCAGCAAAATCTATGAAGACCTTCTTGAACACTGTCAGCCTTATGTCTGCTGGGACACCAGCCTTGGCCGTTGCCACAATGAGAATCCGCCGGTTCTTTACAAGAAAGGTGGCTGACACTTTATCAGCACCACGCACGGAAAAGGTGCCCTTGAAGTCTAATTCACCGCCAGAGGGGCATGCCATGGATGCATTCAGCAGGTCCCCAACACTGACATTGTTCAACAGGCCTGGCAGAGTGGCGTTACAGAATACTCCTGTCTTGGGAACCGGAATCACATCTTCGCTAAACTGCACTGCAAAACGAGCCTTTGGGATTCTCTCATCTGTGTTTACAACTGGTGTAAGAGTCTCAACCGTCAGAACTGGGGGGGTGCTGTCGTGGACCAAGTTCAATTGCCTTGTCTCGTTTTCTTCCTGTGCAATGACAGTGATTGGTCGCGTATCACTCTGGAACTTCAATGGAATGTCGAATTCTGCTGTTCCGATTTGTTTGAATTCTGCTTTCCATTTCTCTCCTCCAATGACAACCTGCAGCAGAAGCAAGCAGGGTGCTCAAAATACCACAGGTGTGGCACGTTCATGCACCAGAACACAGTCAGAATTTTATGGATCTGACGAAATGCAAAGGTGCAGACAACATGGTTCCCAAAAAGGGATGGGATTGAGGCCGTGAACCTATTTAGGGTTGCACCAGTACAGAGCAGAGAAACAGCATCCTGACAATCCTTGCAAGCTGGCTATCAGTGACTATCAGTGATGACAAACAGCATACTGACAATCCTTGCAAGCTGGCTATCAATGACTATCAGTGACGACAACCCACATGTAAGGCACAAGGGGACAAGCCTTCCATCCACAACTGACTGCACCAGTAACTGCAGAGGTGACAGACGATGAAGAACATTGGCCCTGTGGCAGCAGCATTTTCATTTCCAGACACCTGTCTATCACCATCTTGACAAGGACAACACCAAGTGATCAAAGCTCCATCGGTGCACCTGACTCTTGTAGATCTGTTCACGTCTTTAGGACTGTACACTGGAGTGTTGTGCTCCTCACCTCACAGTCATGATGCCATCAACCCCAAAATGAATGATAATGGTGGAATTGAGTTGTGGTAATTTGGCCAGAGTCTTGCTATTACAAACAACTCCTGAATTCTCCTAACCAGGAAATCCGACCACATCTGGACCCACCTCAACATCATCTGGTACAAAAGGTCTTGGCCGTCCCTCATCAGACACGAAGTTCATTGTTAGCAATGTCTCGTCAAGCTTGGTATACAGTGTGAGATTTGAAGCGCAAGGCAGCAACTCTGTGCCAGAGATGGTTGAATTCCTTGATGAACACACAAACCATGGGAACGCTCCTTGCACATTTCTCAGCTCGCCCAAATCCTGCCAGCACAGCAGAGACATTGATCCATCACTGTGGCCACAGGAGAACATTATCTGCGGCCGATGCCCACAAGAACAGCTGGAAACAAACAACGGTTGGGCTGCTGATGAAGGTTAGCACTGTGCCATTGTTGGCGATGTTCATTTTTACACAGTATTACTCAGGCTCAGGATGAGCTGCAGTGAATCATACAAACTGTCTTGATGCTTCCAGCAACAACCAAGGCTCAATGACAAGAAACAACAGCAAAATTCCAAGACAAACTTGTTTCCACTAGGAAGACAAATCCATTTCTGGGCAGAGCAAGCCACCAATGAAAGGAATCCAACCTACCTTGTGTCTACACCAATTGTCAACAGCCAAGTTTTGCACTGCCATTTCCAGGAAGGTGTTAGCAATCAGATTGTGTGTGATCTTCTGAGCGGCAACATGTTTAAGCAGGGTTCCTGGACCTCTTCACAGAACAGATGCTTAATTGCCACGTCCTTGCTTGCAGCATGCCAGGTGGCGAGCTGTAGAACGAGCAGAACATGTGTTCATCGGCCTTGATCTAAGGCACGCTGAAGGCAATTGCCCATCGCACTGCCATGTGGCAAAGAACAGGTTGTGTCCCAATGCTTACATTGTTGTAGACCATGGCCTCCATCAGCGAAACTGCCGGGTACAACAGAAGAGTTTGAGCATGTGTCCATTGTGCAAGGGCACACAGCACCTGAGAGAAACACAAAATTTCCACTCAGCCAACACATATCCATTCACTGAACCCAGCTGCCAAACTTTAGACTCTGCATCAGCCATAACTAATCAATTTTCTTGCCTTGCGGTGGCAGCAGGCCTGTTTTTTTGGCACAATTGCTGCAAGATTGCAGAAGACATCCTGGTTGTGGATCCTGACAGTGACATGACTAACCCAATGCGTTTAAGGACTACCATAAGTGACATAGGTGGGAACAGTTCAATACTTGATGAGGAACTACTGTTTCTGATGACCAGAATGCAGGCTCAAATCCCAACCATATGGCACTGATGGCGCGACAATGATGGTCCATGGTCGGCTGGAGATAGTTCAAATTTCGGCGCCGTCCCCAAAAGCAAATTTTGGTCCCGTCGACAAAACTGATATGACAGGCTGGAGAATAATCCGAATCCTGCGCCATCGCAACAAGAAAGATGCTGCTCACCAGTGCTGCGAAGACTAACTTCCGAAGATAATTCATGCCTCCCTTGAACCGCCTCGCGTTGTCCGCCTGGTCGCACACGCAAGCAAAGTCACCTGTTAGCTTTACAAACGCAGCCAAGAACCGCGTCCAACCTAACAGCCACAGCGCCCAAGCTGTGCGCCTGATCAATTGTTCAGTGCCGCCCAGCAGGGTGAATTCTGATCTGCTCGGGAACTTCTTGGGACAGGATATCACGGCAGAGCAGCAAGTGCGCCCGCCATGGATCACACTCGGCCATCCACTGCTGGGAAGAGGCCAGCCACCTGCCGGCTTCGCAGCACAGTTGCCAACTGGCGGCAGCGTGCCGCACGCGGCTGGGTCTGCGCTGACGGCAAAAGGCTACGTGCGTCGCTCCAACAAAACCTCCAGGACAATGTCCCTCCCTACAGCCCGACACAGGCCTGTCGGCCCACTTCCCCCACGTGTTCGACAAGACCCAGGGATGTACCAATCGCCGCGCACCGATTCTTCTCCATGCTCTCCACTTCCTGTGAAGCGCTGAATTCAGAAAACTGCACCCGGACACACGGACCTTGAGGCCGGCGCTCCCGCCTATGGCTTGCTCATGCCGTGAGGCTTCCTTGCCGCGGCGGCCTCCACAGAGCGTGCGCCCTCCTCCCGTCCGCCCTCGCCCCCCCTCGCCGATGTCCCGCCTGCGTGCCGTGTGCTGGAGGGGCGCTGATTTCAGGCGGCCCCGCAAATACGATGCCTGTGACCGGCAGGGTGCCCCGCAGAGAGCCGTACGATGACACACTTTTGTGATCCAATTAGTGGGGACGGCTAGAGTCAGTGCACTGGTGAGTAGTTTTGGGCGCAGCGCGGCGGGCGACCGCCTGGCGACGATTCTCGCGTTGAAGGGTTAGGCCAGTGGTGGTGGTGCTGGTTGGCGGCACCAATCCTGCCCGCCACGACGAAATGCAGAAAGGGACCGGCCAATTTTTGTACCGCTCGGATATTCGAGGCATAGCGACACACTGCCGCGGCATCGTGGCGCTCCGCACCACAGCCTGCAGAGCGGTCTGAAGTACGCGTCAAAACATGGCATCCAAAAAGAATGCCGAAAGAAGCCAGTTGTTGATTCCTGGTAGCACGCTTGCTGGCGTGGGGCCGTGAGCACACCAGATCCTAGCAACTGCGTGTACGATTCCCCAGCCGGACGTCATCCATCTGTTGTCGTCGTCGTCGAGCTCAAGCACTTCGTTTTCCGCTGTTGGAGTTATTCAGCCTCCCAGCCCACCTGGAGCAGGGCGCCGCGTCGGGGACACATTCAGTGAATGTGACACATGGATGCGCTGTTGGCTGCCATCACACCAGCTCAGGGCAGCGGGCTTAATCACTGTGTCAACTCGACACCCCATTCCTGGAGCAACGAACCCTACCAGACCCTTGCCTTACAATTAGAGGGGGCGAATGAGTAGGCAATGAAAAGGCGGGAGGATCATTGTTTATTGATATCACTTCAGCCATGGCCCGAAATGTTTGCTGATCTACCACACCACCCTGATGTGACAGCAGGCACCCACATGGTTTCCCCTCCCGCTCATTGGCTCATGTCCTCACATGGGCATCACTGAACGGACCAGATGACCGTACCTTGATTTTAGCTGCTTACAATTCCACAGGTACAGGTAATTACATGATACAGCGAATGCGCCTGCGGCCATAAATACGTGCTGCCTCCCCCATGTGGGCGTCCTCTAAGCAGCCAGAGCATCGAGGTGGCTAGCACACATCAAACCGATAGGCTCAGTTTCCCCCTCACTGGAATCCCCACACCTATGCCTACCCGTTGGTCCCACCAGCAATTCCAACATGTGGAGGGTCGTGTGCCGGAAGATGCTGAAGGAATTCGATGCCGGGAATCGACCGTGGCCCCATGGATGGCCCCCCCTTGGGTGATATCCGGCACCTCCAAACAATAGACAAAATGACATTGCGAGAAAGAGAACCAAGTCAGCAATGATGGTGCACGCTGCATTCCAAATCTTCACAGGCATCACTCGCTCAGGCGCTACAATCCTTCCTGAGTGACCAATACTACCTCGCTCTGTGTTACAGATCAATGCAAGACGTAACAGATCCCCTTGAAAAGCCAATTGAACTCCGCCACTCGTTGTGTTTCATTCAAACATCGTAACGCTATGTCTCTCCCAGGTCCTGCTATGTGCCAACATCTACACACTCTATCTCTAAGGCGGAAAAGGGAACTTTTCATCTTGGTGGCTGCCACCGCCCATTGGCTTGCCAACTGCAAAAAAGTTCCATGCGTGATACCCAACTCATTCACTCATCTTCTAAACCCTGTGTCTGGTAAACTACTGAAGGAATGCAGCCGAAACTCTACCACCCTCCATTGCGTTTCGAGCCTGGTGATTGCCAACCCTCTCCAACATATGCTTTTGGTGACGGCATCCTCAGACTGCCTTAATTGATGGAACTCCAAAACTGCTATTTCTCTCGCACACATCATTCACGTACCGATCCTAAAACGCTGCAGAAAAGAGTCCTTGTGCCCACCCTTAACTCATTCTCATGTCCAACGAAGAGCGATTCCCACGAACCCCAGCTCGCGTTATCTATCGATCCCAAGTCGGTGGCCACATCTCGAGCTTTGGGCCAGTCGGGTTGGCCCACCGAACAGTTCGATCATTCAATGAACTCGTTGCTGTACTACAGATCACTGGCGGCAGTGCCGATAGAAGATAGTACCGTGTGCCAACATTGGATGCGAGAATGTGACACACGCCTGGGGCGGCGAACCTTATCCGCACACCCACGCGGCTGTGCAGCTTCCATCTAACGGGTAGCGTGCTGGCGGTCGAACGACGGGCCAGCCTCAAGACTTGCTACCCTGCGGCAAAAGGGGGGAGCGGAAAGCTCATGTCACCCAATTGACTCCTGTCAGATCGGCAGACCTCAATCGCTCCAGTCCGTTGTGCCCCATCCCGCCGGCGCCGACGTCCAGAGCGCCGTAGCTCAGCATGGCGTCCATCCTGGCTGCGTCGTCCATTTTCAGAGCCGGCGGTTTGGCGGCGAATGGCTGAGCGATGGGGTTCAGTCTGGACGGCAGCAGGGCGCACCTGTCGGCCACGAAACCCGCCGGAAGGCAAGCACCGGCAATCGTCGCCCCACGGGCCTTGCTGCCGTTCAGCGTGAAGTTGAGGTTCATGAGACCCAGCAATTTCTGCACCTTCGCCGCGTTCATTGCGTGGACGCCCGGGTCCAGGATTCCGGCGGGCAGTCCCAACGCCTGGCCGCCCTGATCGGGGCGGCCGCAACTCGGGCCGTCCATCTGGCCAGCCAGCTCACGACCTCCGACTCTGGCGTGTTCAGTGCTCGTATGGGGGCCTTGTGCGCCACTGGCGAAGCCCAGTGGGTTGTACCCCACGTTTGGGGTGCCGGACCTGCCTCCGCAGCAATTCACGCCCTCGGGCATGCCGGCGCCGCTGCCATCAACGTTCATTCGCGCCCCAGCAGCATCCGAAAATCCGAGAGCCAGGTTTGGTGCTCCATTAGGCCCCGCGCCCACGCTTCCGGTCCCCGGGGCCCAGCGGCCTTGGGGCACGGACAGCACGCCGCAGCCCAGGCCGTTTCCGAAGGCGCGGTGCAGACTCTCCGCGTGGCTCCTGCTCGTGGGAAGCGTCCCAGCGCCGCTGTGCACCGGAGCGCCGCTTGAGGACATCCAGGCGACCACGCCCTCCAGCGATTCGTGCCTCGAGTGTCCCGCCTGCAACAGCTGCGCGATCAGCTGCTGAGCCACCGTGTGGCTCCACGCCAGATATGAGCCATCCCGTCGTTCTTGCGAACCCGCCAGACCTTCCGAGGGGAAGCCGTGGCTCGCCTTGGAGCCCATGGCTTCCAGACCGTAGGCGTCGCTGTGATGGATTTGAGCTGTGGGCTGGTGAAAGCGCTTGGCGGCAAAGTTCGGGCCCTGTTGGCAGCTTGGGTCACAGGCGCAATGTGTGGGGACGTTCGAGCACCTTGCGTGCTTGACAGATGGCGCAGCCTGTTCCACTCCGCACACCACGGTCAAATGCGCTTTTGAAGACACCACTCGTCTCAAGTCGAATGAAAACTGAGTAAGGCCGGGTATTTCATAACTCGGAGATCCGCGTTGCTGGTCGTCGCAAACTGGGTACCATCGAAGCTTCGGACTGCAGCCACCATGATGCAGCGTAACCACGCTTGATCAACACCTGGCAGAATCAAATCGCGTCCGCATAGGGAACTTGCGGGCTCGAAAATTGACAATGTTTTGCAGAAGGGACAAAGCCTGCAGCAATTGGTAAATCTCAGTCACCCCTAGGGGACAGTGGGCTCATTTCCTTTGCATATTGAGTCCAGGTTCTAATCAGTCGAATACCAAAGACACGTAAGACAGCAGGCGTGGATCGGCTCATTATCTCTCCGCAGGGATCCCATCAATTGCAGGAGAAGCCGACCATGCGAGAATGGCAACAAATGGCCGCCACGGCCCCTCACCTTGGCTGCTTCCTTTAAGTGCGCCTCCCTCTTGAATTGCAGGAAGGACTTCAGTTCATTCATAACGTCGCTGGCATCGCCTCTCGCAGCAATTGGTGCCGCCTCTACACGGCATCGCGGCCGCCTCTTAATTGGGCCACATTCTCGTTCGCCTCCGTTCGACCCATCGTCTCCCGTGCCCTGCGAGGAGCCGTCTACGGTGAGGCTCTCGTCCGTGCTGGCCCGATTGTTGTTTTCTTCGTTTTCGCTGTCCAAATCGCAGTCCTCCAGCGTATCCGACTGCGGGGGCACCGGCTTCATCTGTGGCACCCTCAATTCCTCTAGAGTGTGCGCGAAAAAGCAGACTTTCCGGGAACAAGTTGAACCGTCGTTACATGGCTGAGTTCGGTACCTGACAAATAGTCGCGTGCTGTATGTCAGAACCAAGAAATGCATATTATGGGGCATGTTTATGCTCTGGTTCACTCAGCCCCATGCGGCCATGTGTGACGATGCATTGTGAGGGATCGCAAGCCACAGGTATGGCACGTCCAAGGGGAGCATCATCCAACACTTGACACTGCATTGAGGCCAGCATTTTGATTTTGGCGTACCTTCTTTGAAGATCTATGGGCACGTCATGCAGGCAAATGATTAGTTATAACTATTTAGATCCATATTGTTTGTGGGGATTGATGTCTTGCCTTCACACCTGCTTGGGTGCAGCCAGTACTCAAACACGTTGTGTGCAAAAGGGCATGCTCCACCGCGGGGACACTGCTTACCCTGACAGCAACACACAATGCCGCCGTGCTTGAGTCAGAGCATTCGTTGCACAGACGAACAGGTTTTTGGCGCCGGGGTCAGCCGCAACTTGGGACTTTCAAATAGACACAAGTGTCCATTAGTGCGTTTGTGCATCAAACAAAGGAATCGTTCTCAATGGAGCACGTGCAGCCTAGCAGCTCCATCATGAGGCGCCACCGTCGCAGCAATGTTCTCCAATGCTGACACTAAATACTGCAATGACATACCGAAGTAGCTGGCCAGCCATTATTTGCGCTGCCTCCTAATGAATTTTAAATAGAAATCCTCTTGGGGTGCACGATGGCTCCATGGCCCAAAAAACACCGACTCAGACCGTCTAAAATACAGTGGACACCACTGCGTTGGAAAGTTACGACGCAGGATCGTCCGCGTGCACACGCTTTGGCTGTACGTAATTGTTTGCCGACCCTCGCTACCACCACCCCTCACACTGCGTGCCTTCAAGGTTAACGGGGTATGGGGTTGGGGGGGTATGGAGTGCAGCCTCTCTTCTCAGGGAGTACGTCTCTCAGGACGGCCGCAAGCGGCATCTGTGGTGGAGGTGTGCCATTTCGGCCGGAGCGGCGAGACGATCGGTGCAGGAGGGAAGAATGCGCGCCATGCTGACCTCCTGGACAGCCAGACATCCAATCGCCTGGGTGAGGCGGTTGGACACGCCCAAACCTGAAGAACTGTTTGTTATATGATTCTGTTCATCGTCTTTTGGGAGGCCTGACGAAGGGACTTCGCTGGGGTGAGAGGGGGGGGGACGGACAATAGAATGCGAACCGGGAGGAGACCAGCAGCGTTTGAAGAAACCCTGAGGGGCAATGAAGACAGGGACGTCGACTCTTGACGATGCAGGCGCCTCCAATTTCTTTGGCTGCCCCGACGTGGGCTTGGGGTTTTGGTCGGTGGCGGTCGTCAGGCGGGCTGAATATGGAGAAAGAGGGAGTCTACTTCCAGGGGATCCTTGACAGATATCGGCGAAGAATGTCAACATCCAACTTCGTCCGCCGCCGACGCGCGCGGCCCTCGATCCCGCGGAACCACCAGGCGCAGGGTGTCCACGCCCCACCCGGCCGATCTCCCTCATCTCGTCGAACGCTGCCTCACCGTCTTCATCTCCGGGCAGGCAATCCCCGTGTAGCGGTAGACACGGGGGTCCCTCCTGCGCGCCTTCTCCCCCGGATGCGCGAACGGGCACGTCGTCCAGTCGTGGCAGAACCGCTTGCTGCACGGGAGCACCTGGCCGGCCGTCAAATAACACCACCTCAACACCACAATCCGAACAACTCCACGCATACCACCCCCCCCCCCCCTCTCCCTTTCCCCCATCGTTCAATCGATAGACCCCAGCCGACCAGATGGGCATCACACCGCCACTAGTCCGCGCCCCCCACCCCCACCCCCACCCCCACCCCCACCCCCACCCCGCACCCCCACCCACCTTAAAGCAGTGCATCCGAAAATCGTCCGTGCTGTACAGGGAGCTCTCCCACTCCGCCTCCCCCGCACCCGCCGATCCATCCACAACTGGCACCTGAGCGGATGACAGCAAAGACGTCAGACGCCGTCCCCCCCCCCCTTCCCCGAGATCTCCCATCCCTCCTTCCCAGACAACCCTCCCCGCCCCCAACCGATCAATCCTTCCCCACTGGCCATGCCATCCCACCATCTTCGTCTTGGCCTGCTCCCGCGGCAATCCCCCTCCTGGCTGCGGCGCTAGCGGCGCCGCTGGCATCCCTTTGAACGGAAATTTCTCCGCCCTGCGCCCTCAACTCCCGCCCCCGCCTCCCACCGCCGGGCCAGGCGTCGCCCGGGTCGTCAGGCGCAGGGCTCCCGGCGCGGGCGGCGGAGGGGTCCAATTGATAAGCGCCCCCGGCCGACGCGCTGCCTAATATAGGAGCCCGAGGCTCATGCCGGACGCGCAGACCGGCATGGCGCGGTTTCTGGCGCCCGCCAGATTTCGAACGACCGTTGTTGAGGAAGCCGGGGTCCCTGTGGGGCTGCGCTGGCGGATCGGGTTGGAATGTTTCTGGCATGCTCTATTTTGGGAGATGTGCGTGTTTGTAGGGACTAGCGGGTTGGACGCTGCTGGCGGGGATCCATCTCGGTTGTTCGTGTCACTGGATGCAATCTCGCATGCCCGTCTGCGGCTCACAGTGCGGCTTGGGTGCTAGTGCATATGAGCTTGCTCAATGGGGCGCCCTGCCTGTTCCAGCGGTCGGGCCTGCGAAGGACGCAACTCGAAGGCAGACGTCGGTCACGGCGGTCGTGACTTGTGTGTGTCCTGCTGATTGGGCAACTGTTAGCGAGCATTGATGGACATGCAAACAATTCATCGACATTGTGCCATCTTCCCCGACAATCTCCCGATTGTGAAGAATGGAGGAGGGGCACAGATGGGTGTGCATAGATGAGTGTTCTAGGCCAGCACGGCTGGAATGGCATGCACATGCTCACGCTAGCCGCAATGACGCGCATGTGCTGCAACAAACAGTCCATCTATCCATCATCGAATGAAGGAAGGCCAGGTTTTTGAATGTGTTGTCCTCTTGGGCGAGGACCCAGCATCATGGAATGCATATTTGTGGAGGAATCGGCACTCGATGCTTCTCTTTTTGATCAACCACTGTTGCAGATGCCTTTTAGCAGTGATTGCTTCCTAACGTCCCAAGGGGCGAACTTTGCAGCCCATGTACGAATGATAGTGTTGTGTTCCGAGTTTGCGACGCTGGGTTTTGGATCACGGCTGATGATGTTTAGGTACACTTCTGACTGTATCTCAAAGAACCCTGACATGTACGCAATGTACAATATGTGTCGGCGCGGCTCCCCCTTGGCCGCGTCCAGGTACCCTGGCCCGCGCTGTAGGGCCTCTCCGTTGGAAGCGTGATCGTCCTCGGCCGGACGGCGTGTCCCGGGCTCTCTCTGGCCCGTGGGTGACGGCCGCTCTGTGCGGTCCCGTCCGAGGCGCGCGGCTACTGCGCTCGAGGAGGCAGGGAGGCAAGCTGTTCCAGAAAGATCGAACTACAATCGGCGTGGCCGCGCACGCTCTTACAACCCGCGGCACACAATTCCATTAATGTCCATTAAACTCATTAATCTCCATTATCTCCGGCGGCCGGGGGCTCCGCCCCCGGACCCCCCTGTCTTGCGAGTACCCTTCGGGGGCTACGCACGGCCTCGCTTCGCTCGGCCGAGCTTGCCCCCTACGGGACCTCGCAAGACACAGTCCCACGAGCAGTTCGCCAAACAAAGTGCACGAAATTACCACAAACCACTCCCCCCGGGGAAGGAAATTCGTCCTCGAATTGAGAAAAAAGGAAGTGGGGCGAACAGCAATAGACCGTAAAATCAATGAGCTTCAGAGGGCTTGTCACGGTTGAGTAGTCCGCGAAGAACTCCAGGACTAGAAAAGTTGGACGCCGGCTCCCAGGTGGCTTCATCTATGGGGTAGCCGCTCCACAGCACAAGGTATTCCTTCTTTCGTCGATGACCTGGACTCCACCGCCAGCGAAGTACACGCTCCACGTCGAAGACATCAGGCTCAGCATCTTCAGCAGGGACCAAAAGGGGAAGGCGATCGGCAGCAGGATGAAGTTGTGATGAGCGGTAGTCCTTGAGGAGCGAAACATGGAAGACTGGATGGATTGACCAGGAAGCAGGGAGTTCAAGACGGTAGGCACTGGTGCCAATCCGCTCTAAAATCTTGAACGGGCCGACAAAACGGCGCTGCAACTTGGCTGATCCTTCCGGCTTCAAATGTTTGGTGCTGAGTAACACCCATGCTCCTGTAGCAAAAACAACATCACGTCGTCGTCGATCGGTGATGGACTTCATCCGGTCAGCTGCTTGCTTCATGTTGACCTGGGCCTTCGCAAACTGGTCTCTGAGTCGTTGAACAAATGCTGAGACGGCTTCTGTCTTCGTTCTGATCTGCTGGTGATCCAATAACTGAATGGGAGTCGTCGGATGTCTGCCAAAATTCAGAAAGAAAGGAGTATATCCTGTAGAACGGTTGGGAGCCGTGTTCGCCGCGAACTGAATCGTTGGGATGAGTTGGGTCCAGTGAGCACCATCGCCCACCTGATGAATCGTACACCTGAGGAGCTGACTGAGGACCTGGTTATAGCGCTCAACTTGTCCTGAACTTTGGGGATGATAGGCAGTCCCCATTCTCAAACCAGTTCCCAAAATACGCCACAGCTCCCGCCAGAAAGATCCTGTAAAACGGACGTCGCGATCCGAAATAATCGTAGAGGGGATTCCATGGATGCACCCCACAGAATTCCAAAACAGCTGCGCCGTTTCCTTCCCAGTAATCGACTTACTACAAGGCAGAAAATAGGCCATTTTGGTGGCCTTGTCAACTACTGTAAGCACAGCGTTGTGCCCCTCATCCTCTGGTAAATCCGTCACAAAATCAATAACAACTTGATCCCACTTGTGTGTTGGGATCTCTAGTGGCTGCAATTTGCCACCTGGCATCAGATGCGACCCTTTTTCCTGTTGACACACGGGGCAGCTGAGAACAAAGTCCCGTGCATCACTGATCATCCCTTTCCACCAAAACGGATGACGTACCCGCAAAATCGTGTTGTTCACACCGGGGTGCCCTGAGTACGGTACAGCATGAATTTCCTGTAAAATACGCGACCGATACTCGCCTCCTTGTGGCACCACTGTCCTCCAGTAAGGCAGCTCCTGGTCCATCTCGCCATCACGGTGTGGTCGATGGATCTTCAGTAGGTTCCCTTGGAGCTTGAAAATGCCTTCCTCTCGGACCCATGTCGATGGTGTATCTGGATCTTCCAATCTGTCGATGATTTCCTTGTATGGCTCCTCCAGCTTCAACTGCGCCAGCATATCATCACCAAAATTCTGTTCCAGCTCGACCTGAGTCTCTGTCACATACAATGCTGGAACTCTCTCCAAGGAGTCAACTGCAGGGAAAAATCTGTCGATGTCAGCCTCAACTGAATCTGGTTCTGGCAGCTGCATAGTAGTCTGCTCTGACTGCTGAAAAACTTTGTCCAATGCAGCTTGTATCTCCTCATCAGTTGCTGTCTCTGGTACTCGTAGTCTCTCAACAAGATCTTCGTCTTCTTCTTGGATATGATGGGCAGCTGCTCTGTCCTCCAACCATGCCTTGCGTGTCAGTGCATCAGCTGGATTGTGTACTCCTGGAATATGCGATATGGTGCAGTCGTAGGTCTGGAGTATTGCAATCCACTTCCATATTCTCCTGTTCACGCTTGGCTGGTTTGGAAGGTGTCTGAGAGACGAGTGGTCGGTCCTGACTGTAAAATGGCGTCCCTCGACGTAGTGACGCCACTTGCCGATAGCGTAGACCACTCCAAGAAGTTCCCTCTCATAAGCTGAATACCGTGCTTCGGTATCACTGAGTTTGCGGCTGTCATAAGCCACAGGCTGTAATCCCTGTCCATGGTCCTGTTCAATCACTGCGCCCACTGATCCAGAACTAGCATCAGTAGTCAGGATGAACTCATGACTGAAATTGGGTAATCGTAGAATCGGGGATGTAGCCAGTGAATACTTCAGTCGGTTGAATGCTGCCTCTTGATCTTGTCCCCACTGAAACTTGACCTTCAGCTGCGTTAGGTCAGTGAGGGGTCTGGCGATCTTTGAAAAATTCTTCACAAAACGCCTGTAATAGTTCGCCAGGCCGAGAAAACTGCGAATGTCACGTGCACTTCTAGGCTGTGGCCAGTCGATCACTGCTCTGATCTTCTCCTCTGATGCTTTAACTCCACTGGACGATACTTGGAAGCCAAGATATTCTACAGAATTCTGGAAGAACTCACACTTGTGCAGTCTTCCGTATAACTTGGCTGTCCTCAACCTTTCCAGAGCTGTCCTGACGTGACTGATATGTTCTTCAAGGCTCTTGGAGAAGATAAGGATATCATCCAAATATACGCAAATGAACTGACCCAGCTCCCGTTTGAAGATCTTGTTCATTAAACGCTGAAAGGTCGCGGGAGCATTGGTTAGCCCAAAGGGCATAACCAAGAACTCGTATGAGCCCTGAGTCGTTCTGAATGCGGTCTTGTGCACATCTTCGGCTTTCATAGCTATCTGATGATAACCTGATGCCAGATCCAGCTTGGTGAAGTACTGTGCATTGCCCAGCTTGTCGAGAAGTTCGTCGATCCGAGGGATGGGGTATTTGTCTTTCTTCGTCTGACGGTTGAGCAGCCTGTAGTCAATACACATCCGCCACCTGCCATCCTTCTTGGGCACGAAGAGAATAGGTGCCCCGTATGGGCTGCAGGATGGCTGGATATAGCCCTGACTGAGGAGGTCTCTGATCTGTTCCTCCATTTCCTCAATCTCCTTTGGTCCAAGTCTGTAGGGTGCCCGGCTGGGTGGAACTGCTTCTGCATCTGTTTCTATAGCATGTTCCACTTCGCGCGCTGGTGGCACTCCTTTCGGTAGTTTCTCAGGGAACACATCCTGGTAATCGTGGATGATATTCCTGAGTGAACTCTGGACCTCAGGGCTGGCCTGCTCAACCACGTCTTGCATCACCTCGGTCGTTGTCTTGAACTGTTTTACTGGGCCTGTCTTCAACATTTCAGACCGCTTCTTGCCCTGAGCTGGCCCTATCTTGGCCAACTTAGGCTGCCGCTGCGTTTTCTCCTTGCCAAAACTGCGGATCATCAGAAGATATGATGTCTCACCTCGTGCAGTCAGCTTGCGCATCTGCTTCAATGA